GTGTACGGGACTGCGAGGGGCTGTGCGGCGTGCGAGGCTGCTGCGGTGCGGCGGCGGCAGGGGGCGCGGTTGCCAGGGGAGGAGAGAGCAGAGGGGAGCAGATGGCGCGTGCACGCGTGTGTGTTGGGGGTATCGAGAGCGACGCGCGGCGGCGGGCGACAGGCATATGCTGACTGGGCGACCAAAGCAGGCGGCACATGGGGAAGCATCATCACCCCCGCTACTGACCAATCAGGGGCAGCGTGAGGCGGCAGAGGTCCAAGAACCCGTCCGTGAGGATGCTGCCTTCCGCGCTCTTGACGCTGGGCAGCCGCTCCAGCGCAGCGCGGAAGAGGTTGCGCGCCGGCGCCACGTCTGCATTGTCATCAGGCAGCAGCGCGAGGCCTGCCGCCGCAGCGCACGTCATTCCACCGAGGCCGAAGTACTTTGGCAAGATGCCGTCGGCGTCCTCTATGACTAGCTGCAAGCTGCTGTAGTTTTGCCGCTTGCCAATGGACGCTCGGACCTTTTTTGCAATCTGAACCCCGGCAGTGATGAATCGCGGGGCGACCAGGAGCGGAAGTGTCAGCATGTTATTGAGCAAAATCACAATTGAAGATGGGTCCAGTCGGCTGGCCGTGAACTGAAACGCTCTCGGGAACAAGCTGTCGGGAGTCGGCAAACAGACAAGCAGGTCGCACGAAGGATACATTTATGGAGTGGACTTTGTGCCGCACATGTCCGGCCTGCAGCGACAAGTTTCATCGCTGTTCGCAGTCGAAGCTGTGTCATGACCACGTCACAAGCCCGGTCACGACGGATGAGCCAGCCAACAAGCGGTGCGCCTCGAGCCGCTGACGTTTTCCGCGCTAACGGGGCGAGGCGCCCAGCAAGCCTACTGGGCAATTCTGCTGTACTATCGCCACTTTGCTTTCTGCACAATGTCCAACTGGGCGGTTGAGCCGTCAGCTCCGAACCAATCAAGCAGCCCCCCAAACTTACACATGCACGCACACACGCACAAATGCAGTTTAAGGCGGGGGTCGCATTGCAACCTCGACACGTGCAGCACCCTGTCATAACTTTCAGTCGGTTTTTTTGACTGGAGATGCCAAGCGAGGGGGTTCCAAAGGCATGGCGCCAGCGCGCCTGCGGCAGCGCACCATCATGAGATGCGCATGGGTGGCTCCTTCGGGATGTCACAGTGAGTGAGGTACATGAACGGCAGGGGTCCCAAACAGAGGGGCGTCTCAAGGCCAGGCCTCAAGGCCTGATGAAGAGAAGAAATCAAGTAAGTAAAGCGAGTGCGAGCGGAACAACCGGGACGAGGTCGACTGGCGCGGTCCGAGCCCTGCACACGGAAGCGTGGGGGGGCGGGGGGCGCACACCACTTGTGCTTGCGTGCTTCACTGGAATTGCATGAGCTGCTGCACAGTCCCTTGTCATAAGGCCACCCTGAGGCGCAGTCAGGGCCTCCACCCTGACTGCACCTCCTCCACCAAAGACTGCAAACCATGACAGCCCTAAGGTCTTGGGAGCGAAGTCGCGCGGATGTGCATGCGATCGACGCGACAGGTAAGATACATGCGGCGGGGCGGG